GGAGTGACAATTGCATCCAGGCAGGGAAGTTAGCAGATTATTTAAGAGGGAAGGGGATTGGACCACAGGCTCTTTCTGGTTCTCCATTGACAGCGTTGTGTCCAGAAGAACGCCCAGCATGTGTTGGGAACCACACAAATCACGGACATCAAGGGCTCCCAGTTGGAGGACCCCCGTCTTGTTTGGGTTCAGTCTTAGTCTATTGTCCCTTTATCTTCCCACTAAAGGAGATGGTAAGAACAGAAATGACGTTAATCTGTTAATCAATTATCCTAAGAGTCCAAAATAGTGGTGGATGGTGCAAAGCAAAATTCCCCGTCTGGATTGTCTGTTCAGGGGGAACAAGAAGGAAGCCTTAAAAGGGAACCCCTACACCCCAATTCAGGATGACCAAGGTTTGCCTCTTATCAAGAGGACCTGCCCCAGGTGAGCATGGGGTTGGGGTGAGCAGGATCGAGATTTGTTCTAAAAAAACCCCTACACCTAAATAAGATGATAGAAAACCATCTCCCCAAACACCACCACTCTGCACATGTTCAAAGAAGAAGTGTGGAGTTGTGGATGGTGTACCAGACTGGAAACCAGGAGACCTGTTCAAATCCCTGCTGAGCCAGGGAAACTGAGAGGAGAGAGAGTGTGGCAAGGCTACTTAAGCCACCTCTTGAAATCTCACTTACCTTGCAAATGTTGGAGGGATCTGGGATTTGGTTCTTTTTGGTCCCAAAAACAGCAAAGACAACTCAGGTCAGTCTCACTCCTGCCTAGGAGAAAAGAAAAATAGAAACGATCAGCCTGGAAGCTTCATGGATAAAGCAAATCAAAAATGTTTCCTTACGGGATGTGCCTTCGTTATGTTTCAATTAAAAGCAGGCAGGCAGGCGGATCTTCCTTCTGACACACGTGATGAAATCAGCAGCATACAAGATAGGATGTCTCTCACTGTTTATTTAAAATATTTTTAATCTTGCTTTTCTCATTAAAATACACCCAAGATAGCTTACGTGCATCAGAAAAAGGCAACATTTAAAAGTGAAGAACAGCAAGACTACAACCATTTAAATGAATCAAACCAAAGCCCCTTCATGGATTGCTGCCTTGTCGTGGCGAAGGGGCTTGAGTAACTCAGAAAAGCTATGGGCTATGCCATGGAGGGACACCCAAGGCGGACAGGTCATAGTGGAGAGTTCTGACTAAATGTGATCCACCTGGAGTAGGAACTGGCAATGCCACTCCAGTATCTTTGCGAAGAATGCCCCATGATCAGAAACAAAAGGCTAAAAGATATGACGCTGGAAGATGGGACCCTCAGGTTGGAAGGCGTCCAACATACTACTGA